TAAAATTCCTACTAAGTGCGGACTGGAACCCAATGCTGTCGTCGGGACGGAAGACGAGCGACGTACTCCTTGAACAATGAGAATGAAACAGAGAATAAAGCAAATACTTACTGCGTAATACAGGTCAGACCTGATAAGGCGAACTTATCGAGGACCCAAGAAATGGTTTTTCTCATAAGAAATTCCTGTTATCCATATAAAAATGTAAGCAAGAAAAATAGCTGAGTTCCCCACAACATAAATTCGTCATATTCAAGTTCCCCTTAAGCCGACTGCACTATATTTGGAAGGTTTAATAACCTCACAGTAATTCGAACCTACGGCCTCTATAAAATGGCAGCCAACAATGGAAGGACAAGTTACATAGGTGGATCATAAACCAGTCATCATTTAAAGCGACAACAGCATCATAATTCAGTTTCAGTAAACTTTTCTAGATTGTGAGAACATAGTTTCCCCATACATTAAACACATAACATACGTCTTCACGGAGCAGGTTGAAAGCTATAGGTATTTGTTTTCATTGTTGTCTTTTTGGAAAATTACGTGGTGAGGTCCCATCTCTTCTACGGTGCAACTCTAGTACCACTATCTGAAAGCTACCAGAACATCCCTTTTATAAGCCCTCCTTGGCGAAATCGAACTATGTGGCGTCATGGACTGTGAAATCATTTTCTTTCTTCTTTCGTTCGCATGAAATAAATTGTCTATATCTGGAAAGCTGTCTCTAGTATGAATTTCACTGTCTTTTGTAATTCACTAAGCGGCCCGTAAAGTTTGACTTCCACAAGTGTCTCTTTTGGCCAAAGGTTTTGCCTGAAAGCGTTGAATCTGGGACAGTCTTGAAGGATGTGATCTGTTGTTTCAGGTGCCAGTCCACAAGTACACATGGCTGATTGGCCAATCTTAAATTTGTTGTACATGTGGGAGCGAAATCGATTGTGCCCTGTTCTAACCATAATATGGTAATCATCTTGTGCCAGTTTCGGTGGCATTCTGATTGATTTGATCATTCTCTTCTTCTGTTGATAAGAGACTGGTATGTCAGGTTGTTCTTCAGTTGCACCTTCCTTAGCTAGTTTATCAGCTTTTTCGTTTCCGGGAACTCCACAGTGGGAAGGTATCCACTGCATTACTAATTTACAGCGGTTGCCTAGTTCGGATAATAGTGTCTGTATGCTTGGTAATTTTCCAGACTGGAGTGACTGAAGTACTGCTTTTGCATCTGTCAGGAATACCACTGGTTGTGAAAAATACCCTATATTTAGTAGTTTCTCTACCGCTATCTTGATGGCTTGAACTTCTGCATCATAGTTGTGACAGTGCTTTCCCGTTGGTAATTTGGCTGTATCCCTGGTATTATTAGGATACTCAATGTACACTCCTGCACCTCCGTTTCTGACTGCGCTTTCTGCTGACCCATCTGTGTAAACACGGACCCAAAGGTTCTTCGGGTATTCATCATCAAGTAGACTGAGGGTGGCTGTTTTGCGCTGCACACTGTTTTGTTCTTCCTTGTCAAATACCCCTTTCACTTCAGTCTTGATGTGTATTGGAAACTTATACTCTTCTCTCCAGGGGGTCATCTCTGGGACAGCATTTAAGGAGCTATCAGTTGCAGGTAAATCAGTGGTTTGTCTGCCGAGCCGTTTGGCCTGGTGGATAAAACTACTTCTCTTTAGTCGTCCCAAAGCTAAATTTTTGAATCTTTCATTCATAGGGTGACTGGGCATACTAAGAAACTTTTCTGCTTGTAAAAGCATCTTGGTGTCTCTGCGTTCACTCGATGCTTGGGTCATCCCCATTTTCTCCATCACAGCTATAGGTGTTGATTTCATACTGCCTGTGGTAACTCTGAGTGCTTGATTTTGCACTTTATCTAATTCTTGCAATGTGGTTTTTGATGCCGAACTCCATGCTGTTGATCCGTATTCAAGATGTGGTCGAACACTTTGTTGGTAAACTTTCCTAAGTATTTTCCCGCTAGCACCCCATGTGGTTCCACTTAGTTTTCTCAGAATGGCTACCCTCCTTCTGGCTTTGCTTGCTGCCTTGTTGGTGTGTTTTCTCCATGTTAATCTATCATCAAACGTTACGCCGAGGTATGTGGGCTCCTTATCCTCTCTCAGGGGTACTCCATTTATGTGCATGACACCTGATTTTTGTTTAGGAGAAAGGGTAAAGAGGGTGGTGCTGCATTTGCCTATATTGATGCTGACACACCATTTGTCGGCCCAATCAGCCATTGCATCTATGGCTCTTTGTAGCAGTCTGGTGGCCACTGTCGCATTTTCATTTGTACACCAGAGTACCAAGTCATCAGCATACATTGCAGCTTTAATTCCATGGGGGGACTGTGAAATGTATTCACTAACCTATTAGTCACAAAGAGAGAGAGAGAGAGAGAGAGAGAGAGAGAGAGAGAGAGAGAGAGAGAGAGAGAGAGAGAGAGAGAGAGAGAGAGAGAGAGGGAGAAGGAGCAAATGTTTCTGTCAGCTTGCTTGAAAGCAGCAATGGATATTACCGGTTGAGTTGAGTTAGGTCAAGAATTGACATCACAGCACTCAGGGCGTTCCTATCCATGCTCTGTCCTCATCTTCAGCAGCCAGCGCAAGTTCCAATACTGACGATACCGGTCACAATCTGTTAAATGTCCGTCTTGCCTTTTCTCTGAGTGTAGTAAGCCGGCCAGACCCTCTGGTTATACCCAGGTGCCTCATTCTCTCCAGGCCATAATAATCTTCTTTCTCTACTGAATCCGTTGCTTGTTCCCAAAAGGCCTTGACCACATCTACCTTATCATGTATCAGTTTATCATCCAGAGTGCAGATCCAGCCAGTCTGTCTGCCGGTTTATTACCCACCACGCCGGCATCGCCTGGATAAAAGATCTAAAGTATGCTCACTACCCGTGACCTTTCCAGTGAAGCTTGCCACTCTGCTCGAAACATCCATGTCTTAACTTTCTTCAGCATGCTTTCAGAGTCTGTTATAATAATGACATGTCTATGCATCTTTTTCTCTAACCACCGGAGAGCTGCAGTTACCGCTTCCACGTCCATCCTCATGCTAGATATGGTGGTGTATATAACCAATACAGGAGCTACACCAAACAATGTCTTAGAGAGAGAGAGAGAGAGAGAGAGAGAGAGAGAGAGAGAGAGAGAGAGAGAGAGAGAGAGAGAGAGAGAGAGAGAGCAAGGAACTGTCGGGAAGAATATGCATTCATGCCGTTAAAAAAAAAATTGTCTACGTTCAAACAAAATGACAGTAGTTAGTACCATCCTTCAAATTCTGGACCACCAAATAGTCCTCCCCTTGACACTTAATGGTTGATGTTAAAGATAATCATCACCATGCTGCCATCATTGATGAATGGAAGTGTCATCACTGTGTTGTGAAATTTATAACATGGATTAATGAAGTGTGTCATTACTATGTTGTGGAATTTACAACATTGATGAACGGAATGTTTCATCATTATAGGGTCAAATTTACAACATTGATGAATGGAATGTTTCATCATTATAGTATCAAATTTACAACATTGATGAATGGAATCAGTCATCATTATGTTGTCAAATATACAAAATTGATGAATGGAATGTGCCATCACTGTATTGTCAAATTTACAACATTGATGAATGGAATCCCTGTGGCTACATAAGGACGTGAGTCGTGAACTATCTCTCAGTCCTTGAGAAAGAGTTTTAGGGGCTATTGAGCTGAAATGCTATAGAAAGATACTCAGAATATCTTGGACAAAGAAGATGAGAAATATTAACATCTTAAACGATCTAAACATCAAGGAAGATTGGCTAATAAACAGCATCCTTTCTCGAAAACTGAAATATTTTGGTCATATCAAGCGCCAGGACGGATTGGAAAAACACTATAGCAGAAGGCATGGTGCCAGGAAGGAGGCGCAGGGGCCGACCGACACGAAGATAGGCACAGGAAAAAAGTGACTCCTTGAGTGTGAAAGTGCATGAGGCGGAAGAACTAGTGTGAGACTCAGTTTCTTTCAGGCAGACTGTGATAAGAGCGACGTTCTGAAAAGGACCTGCTACATGATGATAATGATGATGAATGGAAAGTATCATCACTATATTGTCAGATTTACAACATTGATAAATGAAATGTGTCATCACTATTTTGTCAAATTTACAAATATTGATGAATGGAGTGTGTCATCACTGTATTGTCAAATTTACAAAATTGATGAATGGAATGTGTCATCATTATATTGTCAAATTTACCAATATTGATGAATGGAATGTGTCATCTCTATTTTGTCAAATTTACTAAATTGATGAATGGAATGTGTCATCACTATATTGTCAAATTTACCAATATTGATGAATGGAATGTGTCATCACGATATTGTCAAATTTACAAAATTGATGAATGGAATGTGTCATCACTATATTGTCAATTTTACAAAATTGATTAATGGAATGTGTCATCACGATATTGTCAAATTTATAACATTGAATAATGGAATGTGTCATCTCTATTTTGTCAAATTTACAACATTAATGAATGGAATGTCATCACTATATTGTCAAATTTATAATATTGAATAATGGATTGTGTCATCACTATATTGTCAAATTTATAATATTGAAAAATGGAATGTGTCATCACGATATTGTCAAATTTATAACATTGATGAATGGAATGTGTCATCACTATATTGTCAAATTTACAAAATTGATGAATGGAATGTGTCATCATTATATTGTCAAATTTACCAATATTGATGAATTGAATGTGTCATCTCTATTTTGTCAAATTTACAACATTGATGAATGGAATGTGTCATCATTATATTGTCAAATTTACAACATTGATGAATGGAGTGTGTCATCACTGTATTGTCAAATTTACAACATTGATGAATGGAATATGTCATCACTGTATTGTCAAATTTACAACATTGATGAATGGAATATGTCATCACTAATATTATATTGTCAAATTTACCCTATCTGTGGTTGTTCAAAGCAGGAAATCGTAAGGATCACGTGACGAAGTCCTGTTTGTCCTGTACTCTGTAAAAGATACCATCAAAAACTGGTAAATAAATATAAAGTTGTATTTAGCCTTTGTAAACTGCAACAAAGAAGACGCAAGTAATATATTACGCATTTATTGCCCGATATTTCTGTATCTCTTCAGATTGAAACAGAAGATCGACTGCATTCAAGAGCAACTGCCTTCTTTTACCGGACAGAAGCATACTTACAACAATCGAAGAATAGTCCCCTATGAGGAAGCCACAGTTATAAATCGGTTCTGTTGCGATTTATTTAGACAATATGGCATGGTAGTGAACCTGCGTTTGCCCTGGTTAATCAATCAGTCACTTTTGAACGTAGCCGATTTTGTGTTTTAGTTAGATGGACTCGTTTTTTTCATCAGTTAACAAAGTGGGTTTAAGACTTCATGCTGAATGCACCACTAGAGAGAAAATGGCTCCTTAACTGTCTCTGTCGGGATTTTTACATCAGATGTCGATATTGCCAATTTTATCAAACAGTGCTCAGTAGAGAGACATAATCATCTCATCTCATCTCATCTGGACCATCTTGTAGCTTGCAGTAACGATGTGACAAGAAAGCCCCCATTTCTGTGCTTCGTAAATGGGAATTCCCAGTGATGTTGTAATTCCCTCTGTGCATCGTTCGCAGTCCAGAGGTGTTCATTTTCCATATTTTGTAAATCGCTTTTTTGTCTCGATGTCCATCATCATTGTTTGGTTCGTTTCCATCTAGATCAGTCCGTGCATACTTCGTTATGTTTCTTTGAGCTGTGAAAGTAATCCCCTACTAGACCGGTCGTAGGTTATGCAGAAACACTGACCTAGGTGCCTAGGTCAGTTGAATGGAAAGGGGAGGACTTTGTCATTTGCTGATGACATTTTGATTTATCGACGAGGGCGTGATAGACAGGAGATCGCCAGCACTATGCACAAAGAACTCGATCGAATTGCCGCCTGGTCTAATGGTTCTAATGCCTATGTCAATCCTTCGAAGGCATCAGTGTCATGGTTCTTTTTGAACAATCACATTGTCAAGTCGGACTTACCAGAAGTGAAAATGCGTGATAATGTATTGATCAGAACCAACGTTATGACGTTTCTCGGGGTGAGGTTCGATCGCAGCTTGTCATTCAGGGAACACGTTGACCATGTGATAACAAAAGCACGCAAAGGTCTATCTGCAATGAGGATTATGGCTGCTTCCAACATTGAGCAAAGACTACTAATACTTCTATTCTACGTTCTGGTCCTTTCCCCCATTGAATACGCTCTGGCCATCCTCACTGTCAGTGCTACCCAGATTGAACGACTCGAAAAGGTGTAAAATGAAGCTATGCGCATTATTTTGGGATGTACTAGAGACACATCCTGTGGAGCAATGAGGTATCTACTTGACTTTCCAACAATGAACCAAAGGATCAAGATGTGGAGGGCTCGGGCATATCTCAAAATATGTGCTGATAAGAAACACCCACTGCATCAAGCGCTTTTTAGTGAAAAGGGCGACAGACTGAAGAGGGGGAAATCGTGGCTAGGTCGGGCAGAAGATGTTATTTGGCAAATATGCAGCCTAACCGACATCATACCTGGTGCAGAATGGATACATGTGCCTCGGGCGTTTATTTGTACATTTTCCTGTATTGTCACACTCAACAGGCGATGTAGAGAAGAGAATCCTGTTGCTGTTAATGCAGAGGTCAACGCTCTCATCGGTGAAAATTCAGGCGAAGCAGATGCAATAATCTATACGGACGGATCCGCCAAAGAAGAAGCGCATGGGCATTTACAGCACGCTCAGCGGGCAGAACAGTCAAAGAAGCCAACGGCGCCTTCTCCATGACAACCAGCAGCATGACGATGGAGGTGATGGCAGTGACACAAGCGCTTGCCTGGCTTGAAACACAAAAATACACCCGCGTGTGTATACTCAGTGATTCAATGAGTATGATCCGGAGGGTTCAGGCAGGTTCAGTGCGAAGACAATGGCTTGAATCATTACAGAAGTCCACTGTCCGTGGAGTCACCTTTATTTTTGTTCCGGGACACGCAGGTGTCGATGGAAATGAAAGAGCTGACAGGTTGGCTGGATCCGCTATCACTACCGACGGTCAGCCTATGGATCATGCTGATATTATCAATGCCCTCAGAGAAATGGGAAGGAAAGACGACTTTGGTGGCAGTGAATCCACATCACTCGCCGGAATTTCAGACTTAGAAATTAAGATAGACACAGCAAAAAACGAGACGCACACCAGCTACGCCAGAAGACTTGTTAATCGACATAGAACTGGTACTATTAGCCAACGGACGTTGGGGTTCATACTGAGGGGAGGATCTGAGCACCTATGGACATGTCCGGAGTGCAATGAGGATAACCCAATTAACTAACTAACTAACTAACTAACTAACTAACTAACTAACTAACTAACTAACTAACTAACTAACTAACTAACTAACTAACTAACTAACTAACTAACTAACTAACTAACTAACTAACTAACTAACTAACTAACTAACTAACTAACTGACCTAGGTAAGTTCATCCACCTGGGAAGCCTGAACTCCGTTGGTCATGGTTTCCCAGTCTACATAACATAGAAGTGGGATTGTCTTGTGTGGTCGACGGATTGACAGAAGGGATACGAGAATGAAACTTATGAGAAAAATTTGGATATTACATGCAAAGACAGCACTTAAAGTGGTTTGCACAATTAGAGTCCTTTGTGATGTTGTGCCATACAAGTCGGCGAACGTGCAACACGATGTAGAAGAACAAACGAAAGATAATATTTCAGACATTGAACAGTACAGAACTTTCTAATACGCTTCAAGGTTTAAAAAACGGATCAACATCATGGCACAAGGGTAGTAACCCATTAGTGCTCCGTTTTACTTTTAACTCAAGTATAAGTCCAAAGAATCTTAGAGCAGTGCACGAACTCCGTAGCACCGGCGATGATCCTGAAATACTTTAGTTTGATTTTTTACTCCAAATTTTGCACGGGCAGCGCCGATTGGCTACTCTTTTCGATTTTCAACTGCCAAGGGATTTTTTTTACGTGCGCAACAATACACAAGGGCGTCTGATCTCACTACCCAGAGACCGGGGGAAATTACTAGAAGTCCAAGTCCACGTGAAGAAATCCCAGCCCTTGCCAGGGATTGAACCTGGAACCTCTAGAATTTGAGGACACCCTGCACGAGACCACACAGCTCCTGTTTGGTTTTATATTTTTTCACAATACCTTTTAGGGCGTCAAAATGTTTTGTTTAATTGTACTGATCATACCTTTCATCTGTGTGCTGTTGCCCGCCAGCCTGCCCGTCAAGGGAATAGTTTCATCAGCATCTTCACCCCTGCCAGGTAGCCCACAACATCCGCAGGTGTTGAAACAACAAGACATGATCTTCAGCTCACATTTCCTGATGCCATAGAAGCAAAGAAGAGCGAAGATGATGAAGAAAATAATCCCCGCCACTACTGCGGGTATCAGCCAAGCAAGGTCATCAGTATGACTGGTGCCTAAAAGTCCCTCAACCCTCAAGCTGACCGTATTATTTAACGCAACCATTTTAAAAATAGATTCTTTCCCCCTTTAATGTGGGTTAAATAGATTCAGACTGAAGTATATAGATGATTACTATTAGTTTATGTCATTATCATGTATCCGCTTTTGTGTCAGCGGTTCAGCAGCAAGGCTCGCCTGTGTGTTGTGACTGATTAGATTACACATCAAGAAAACAGTGGACAGATAAAATCCAGGCTTCAAATATGTGGAGTCACCGGTTGAATACAGAAGTCCAGTCACATAGATTTATTGAAGAGGCTGATATCTGCAGCAATAAACCTCAAGTGCTCGGCATGCTGAAGATGGCTGAGGAGGAAAAAAAATATAAATGAAACAGTGAAATGTGGACATTAACAGAATTTGTATGGCAACAATATTTTATGTATTTTGTCTATTCTGGCTGGTTTGGTCAAATTCAGAATTACACACTTTGTAATGGCTACAGAACGCTGTAACTAGAAGAAATTGTAAAATAAAGGTCCCTTGTTCACGCCTTTGGATGTAGAGGGCATGTGAGGCTAGATTAAAATTTTTAAACATTAATCCGCACAAGATGGGTGATATGTTCAGCATCACGGCGATTGCCTGGGACTGCACTCGGTACCCACTCAAGGCTGGGTCGAAATGGGAGAGAAGAAATTTGAGCATTGCTATTTTCTCTTTGCAGGGAAAGTCAATAAGTAAGTCACAAATTGTTATAGGATAAAATAAAAATGTAGTTAGTGGTTTCTAAAGGGCTCATTAGGTGACAGTTATATCAAACTTTGTGTCTCCGCTCGTTCGGTGACGTTAGATGTTGCATGCGCATTCTCAGCACTGAGACAAAATGGCGACTGTACGTACGGAGTGTACCCTCAAAGAACATCGGCTGTTGTGCGTTTGTTTTGGGAAAAATGGTTGCCTGCAAAGGACGTTTGTAAGGAAATGCTTCCTATATTATGCTGACAAATGTTTATTCCGTTAGGCGGTCCATTGAAAACCCACTTTGGCGGGAGACATTTGGCGAATGACACAGAAGTTGAACGTGAAGTAAAAAATGTGGTTTAGAAAACAGAGCACGCACTTCTATGCAGCAGTTTTAGAAGGACTGATAAAACGATGGGACAAATGCATCAATATTGGTGGAAATTATGTTGAAAACTAGAGGGGAAGTAAATGTGTTTTTGTTTTTTTAAAAACAGTTTTCAGGTTGTAGTCGTCCTTAGTTATTTTTAATTTTTTGTAACAACTGTTTGTGACTTACTTATTGACTATCCTTCGTACATCGAATTCATTTACAAGTAAATGGGAGAGTCCGAGAATATTGTGATTTTTATAAGCTGCGTCGGTACTATGATCTGTGTATCATGACAAATTAGGTCACATTCAACATAACTGGAGAAATTAAATGGCAATAGAATTTGCAGTTAGACACGTAGTAGTACTCTTAACCCACTATGTTGACTAGATGTGTTGAGGTCTATCTAACAGTCACGGAACGTTGTAATCAACAAAGCCTGTATCGGCACTACGTTCACTTCATTGTGATTGAAAAGGCGTCATTCTCTATTACGTACAAATGAAACAGATAACGGCCGCTAAAATCGGCAGAAACTGTAGCAGTTAAAAAAAAAAGTAAAGATCCTTTTTTACGCCTTAGGCGCATAGGGTATATGGGAAGAGCGTCCCATATTTTTACAGACTAATCAGCACTGGATGGGTAATGTGGTCAGCATTACGCCGGCCGTCTTTACTTCCACAGGACAGCCATCCTGGTACCCATTTTAGGCTAGGTCGACCTGCTACGCCACATACCACGATAAAAATCCACGCAGCCTGCAGTGGGTTTCGATCGCGGTACGTTAGATTACGAGTCGGAGTCCAACGCCTAAGCCACAAACGCCGCATGTAGCAATAATGTGTCCTTACAATGACGACCCATCTGTCAGCTTTCTCTTCGATATACGTGTGGTACCTCTGAATATGAAACCCACATCACCACTAACCCGCCCCTTTCTTTTTCCTGCTTCTATGTGCTGCGTCACCATGTTGATTAAAGTACAGTAAATATACTGTTTGTATATTCTTGGGGGGGGGGGGGGAGCGATCTATGTTTGTATTCAAATATGATCACCATCTATTACTAAGTTTACATTGTACTGTATTTAGCAAACTACCTTTTAAATTTTCGTTTGTTGGACCCTGCACCCTAGTAGTAGTAGTAGCAGCAGCAGCAGCATCAGTAAAATCAATAACAACCGATATAGCAACAACAGCAGCAGTGACTTTTAAAATTATCTACCAGAGATGGCATTGTATGACGAGTGTAAAGAAAGGGACAGTAATCATAATCATCATCAGGTGCCTTGCCGATTGGCGTGGGCTATCATGCCTCTCCATAATCTGCGATCTCCTGCAGCTTGTATTAGTTCGGGTGCCGACACACCTCATGCCATACAACAAGACTGTCAAGCATTTTCTCTCGTTGTCTTCCTCTATCCCTTTTTCCACAGATCTTTCCAGTGGTCACAGCATGTTCTTTTTCCTTCTTCTCATAACATGGCCGAAAAATGATGACTATCTCCTTCTGATGTCTGTGATAAGTTTTCTTTGGGCTCCCGCCTCTTTCAAAACCTCATCGTTGCTCTTTTTGGCTGTCCTAGGTATTCTAAGCATTCTTCTGTAAAACCTCATCTCTGAGGCCTCTAAAAATTGTTTCGCCTGCCTACCGATTGTCCAGGATTCACAGCCATATGTTAAAACTGGATGTATGCAGCAAGAAATAATTCTTTTTCTAACTCTCAATGACAAGGATATATTGCACAAGACGTTTTTCATTTTATAAAATGCAGTTTTTGCCTGTCCAATTCTGTTTCTTATTTCAGTTATGCATCTTCCATCTGATGTTATCCATGTACCCAGATACTTAAATTTCTGTACTTGTCCTAAAATAACACCATTGACTTTTATTACACATTTAGGAATAATTTGTTTCTATGATACCACCATTACTTCTGTCTTCCCATTATTCAAACTGAAGCCCATTCTTCCACTTTCTAACACCACAATGTCTATCATTTCCTGTAATTCTTTCTGACTTGTTGCTATCAAGACTGTGTCATCAGCATAACGTAAATTGTTTATATTGTACCCACCAACCACAATTCCGGGCATATCCATTAAAGCTCTCATTATATATTCACTGTATATTAAAAACAAATCAGGTGTCAGTACACATCCTTGTCGTACGCTCCTCTTTTTGCTTTGAAATGTACCTAAACAGTTGTTTATTCTTATAGATGCTGTTTGCTGCCAATACATATTTTTATTATTCGTAGATCTTTCCCATCAACGTTTAATTTTTCTAACAGTTTGATTACTTCTTCATGCTTCACACAGTCAAATGCTTTTGTATAGTCTATGAAGCATAAGTACAAATCATTCTTTACTTCTATAGCTCTTTCTGACAATGTCCTTAGGGTGTAAATGGCATTGTTTGTACCTTTTTCTTCTACAAATTCACGTTGTTCATCGCTGATTTCTGGTTTAATTTTGTTTCTTATTCTTCTCATAATTATTCTCAGTAAAATCTTAGTCATGTGACTCATAAGACTTATTGTGCGATGGTCTTCACATTTTAAAGTGCCTGGTTTCTTTAGCAGAGCTATAAATATGGATTTTAAAAGGTCATTTGGAATATACCCACTATTATAAATATCATTTAAAAGTTTAGTTATTATTTCAATTCCAAAATCTCCCAGTGCTTCGATTTCTTCCAGTGAGATGTTGTCTGGCCCGGGTGCTTTTCCTTTCTTCATATGATGTATTGCATCCTCAACTTCTGCAGTCATTATTGGTGGACCATCATTGTTGGTCTTCATCATTCTTTTTCTTCCTTCTTTCATCCATTAACTGCAGAATTTCGGTTGACATCCATTTCTTTTTTGCAACTCTATGGGTTGGTGGGATTGTCTCTTTTGATGTCTGCTGAATTGACTCACGCAACATATCCCACTGTTCATAAATAGGTATAATTTCCATTGCATTGTACGGGACAGTAATACAGTAACATAATACTAAGATTAACGATGCAATAACACAAGTTACAGCTATCATATTTTACACTATAAAGTAATAAAATAACACATTAACAACCTGTTAAATAACTGTTTAAAATAACTATTTGAAAAACAAAACCGTCACGTAATCAGTAACAAAAAAAAAAAAAAAGACTACATGACCTAGTAACTTCATTAGCCACCAGGTGCCGATTGGTCTATAAAATATGGGTCTGACCCTTTATGCCCAATATACCTAAAGGCGTGGAAAGGATCCTTTTTTTAAAATCTTTTTCATAAAGGCCATAAGTATAATGATATTTTATTGAACATTCAATGACAATTGAAACAGCTTACCTTTTCCCTAGTACTCAAGCAGGTTCTAATTTGCGGTTATCTCTCCCGGACATATACACACATAACACATTCATGTTTAGGTTCTCCATATCAGTTTCGCCTGTACATTGCTTTATCTCGTAACTTCGTGTGGCCAAGCACGGGTGCGATTATAAATGTAGTGGAACGTATAGCGGTACCCAGACACGAGTTTCTCGGGGTACGAGGTCAATCTCGCCAATTTATATACGAAGCGAACTCCTCCAGCCTGCGAGCTGCAGAGACCAGTGTTCTCAGAAAACCCAACAGAATCTCGATAACTTTTACATGTTACGTTGATATTGCTTGAAATATCTTAAGCCAGCCGACAAGGCACTAAACGATGATGGACTGTCGCATCAAGGTCGGAATTAACCCCGTTTTCCCGCTGCCGGCAAAAAAAAAAATGATGCGGTTGTTGCTGAATATCTTTCTTTTAAAAATATACTCTAAAAGAAATTTTCTTTACGGATTTTAATTAGTATTATTTTATAGTATGCTCTACTATCTTCACTTTTGTCTCTTTTTGTATTACCGCCGATTGGTAAGTGGGAGTTTATGTTTAAGCTGATTCAGCACTGCATGAAAGAT